ATATATATATATATATGTTGCATGTTTTATAGTACAGTTTACAAATACAGTTGACCCTTGAACAGTAAGGGGGCTAGGGGTGCCAAACCCCCTACACAGTTGAAAAATCTCCATATAACTTTTGACTCCCCCAGCACTTAACTGCTGGTAGCCTACTGTTGACCAGAAGCCTTACCCATAATATAAACAGTCGATTGACACATATTTTATACATCATATGTATTATGTACCATGTTCACACAATAAAGTAAGTTAGAGAAAAGACCATAAAGTCATAGGGAGAAGAAAATACTTCTATAGTCCCAAACTATATTTGTTGAAAAAGGGTCTGTGTAGAAGTAGACCCGTGTGGTTCAAACCCGTGTTGTTCAGGGGGCAACTATGTATGCTTTAGATCTTGTTGTTGAGGATACTAGGCACTAATTACGTGTGACCATTTAAATTTAATTAAAATTTAATTTACTTTAAAGACTCTTCTCAGTCATACTAGCCACATGTGGCTAGTGGTCACCATATTGGACAGCGCAGAAATAGAACATTGCCACCATCACAGAAAAGAATATTATACACTACTGCCCTAGATGCTTAGAAATAATTAACAGAATTTAAGATCCCGTAAAGGTCATCTAGTCAAACCCCATATTTAGTTCATCAGTGGGGGTTGTTAGTAGGATTTTACACCTTGTTCATATCTCAATGTCCTTCTAAAAATGAGTAAGGACAATATTCTTATTTCTGTCTCTGGGAAGAACTAAATTTATGAGGCTCCTTTGTGAGTCAGAGATGTAGCTTTGTAATTTATTCCTGAAAAATTCAAGAGTAGCATTATGTAATTAAATACACCTTGAATTTGAAGGTTAGAGCCCTAAGCTATCATTTACTACATGGATAAGCCTAATAAAGTTATTTAACCTCTCTGAAGGAGTATTCATCAGCAGTGGAAGGGAGACTTAATTACTTCCTGGGTCTGCACTAGAATTTAAACAAGGGCATATATGTGAAAGTTGTTCCTTAGTCTCTGAATATAAACGGTCATTGTTATTTCTTGTCGATACGGCCCTTAACTGCTCTTTTCCCACAGAGTTTCAGTATTAATGGTGATATGTATTTAATCTCTTCTCGAATCTACTATTAGATTTCTTGGAACTCTTAAAACAGCTTAACAGTTAAACAGAAGTCTTTAACATACCCTCAGTCTAATGTCTTTGTTGTGGTTTTGTTGCTTAAAAATCTTCTGTGATTTAGAGGCTACTTTCTAGCAGAAATTGGGCACCTGGATTATGTTAATCTTAGGCATTTTCATTTCCATCATTGTGGATTATTAAATTTTGGACATTCTTCTGGAATTAATACACACACACACACACACACACACAAATATACGGACATGATCTCAGTTGCGACAGATGTGAAAAGCTCCAGGATTAGCGGGGCGCCTAGGTGGCTCAGTCGTTAGGCGTCTGCCTTTGGCTCGTGTCCTGGGATCGAGCCCCACATCGGGCTCCCTGCTTGGCGGGAAGCCTGCTTCTCCCTCTCCCACTCCCCCTGCTTGTGTTCCCTCTCTCACTGTGTCTCTCTCTGTCAAATAAATAAATAAAATCTTAAGAAAAAAAAAAAGCTCCAGGGTTAGCAAGTCAGATTTATAGACCAAAGGACTCCTAACTCTTCTGCCATTCCTCTCTGTCTGTTGTTTGCTCCCCTGTCCCTGAGCTCCAGGTTTCAATCAGATTCATGTTTCCAGGGAAGTTTTGCACTGGGAGTTTTTACTCTGTCTTGCAGTGGAAGGATTCTTACAGCTTTCCCCCCATACTGCCAAAGAATAGGTTTTCATTCTCCTTGTAACCCTCTTCTCTTAAGGGGATACAGACCTTTTATGATCCAGTTTGGCTGCATGATCAGTTGATCTTCAGTTAAAGCTGTGTTTATATATGATAGGACTTGAGTTTTCATGTGGCTTCTATAAATTCATCAGGAAAAATATTAGTCTTCCACTCTGAAGTTGGTTTTAATTTTGAGCTCTTGTTCTCCTATTTAGAATAATCCTCTTCAATCTGTAATTTCTTCCTAATCTTTTAAATTTGTTATCAGTAAACAGTTCCTTTCAATACAGTTTTATTTGTTTATCACTTTATAGGTGGATGACAGGAAACTTACTTTGCTATATTGAAAAACATATTGACTCTTAAAGGGAATCTTAAATATGAAAATTGGCCAAATAGGGGCACCTGGGTTGTTCAGTCGTTCGAGCGTCTGACTCTTGATTTTGGCTCAGGTCATGATCTCCGGGTGGTGGGATCAAACCCCACGTTGGGCTCCGTGCTGGAGCCTGCTTGGGATTCTCTCTCCCCCTCTCCCTTTGCCCCTCCCCACCCCCTGCCCCACTCGTACACTCTCTTTCTCTCTAAAAAAAATAAAAAAAAATTAAATTATCCAAATAAAGTCTTGGATCTTGGATATCTATTTAAAAGTTGCTGTAATCCCCAAATACAGATCTGCAGACACATGGGACAGACACTCTGCAAATCTGACTCACAGCCTTTATCGGGAGTGACACACTTTCATTGTCACCAATCCAAATTGTCTTAGAGCATTTTTCCACCTCGGTGTTTGGGTTCTAATACTGACCTTCCAAGATAGATGGTGACTCTTTGAACATCTCTGATGCTATGATTTCAGCATAGGACTCTAAGGCAGTCACAGTTCTGGTTTGTGCATAGAATACCAACATGAGCTTGCTCTTCATACAATTATCTAAGGCATAGTTACCGTGGCCTTGGTTCGTTGTGCTCCTTGACAAAAAGCACAGAGAACTACTGAGTGAAACCGGCGATCAAAGCAGACCTCAGAAACCAGCGTTTCCTGCTGGGATCTCCTGTTTCCTGGCCCATCTTTAATAAGAGCTATTAAGGAGGAGCAGAGCATACATACCTGGAAGCCTGAGCCCTCCCCTTCTCTCTCAGCTCCAGTGTCAGGCCATGGGAAAGAGAAGCTACAGCAAGTGCTTTGTTCAGGTTATGACGTTTTCAAGCTGATGTCCCAAACTTAGACACTTAGTGAATGTTGGCATCCAGGGCTGTTTTCTCAGGGTATGCAATAGATCAAAAAGGAGTCTGGGGCTCTACTTTTGTCCTTGGTCTTTAGGACGTGTCTATAAGCCACACAATAAAATCAGGGCCTTTCTACTGTATACCATTGTATAAGGTTTTTTAATCAAAAACTTGGCAGGCCACTGAACTTGGTACCTAGCCTATGGCTTCCTAATCACTTTTCCTATTTAAAAAAAAAAAATCCATCTTGTGACAACCTTGAGGCTAAAAATAATGGAATCTAGGCCAAAAATGTGTTTGCCTAATTACCTATTGGCAGCATCCTTGGCATAAGGATTTGAGGCAGGATCTGTTTGGATTCATATTTTGCTGTATTTGTTGGAGTGATCACATTTTGTTTTCGTCACACTTGTTACATCCTGTCCTAGGGCAGGTGGGCCTTTACTTCATAATTTGGAAACCGTTGGTCACTTGTTGCTGTGTGAGCCAGGCCATAATTTAATGACACCATAGAAATCCAGCTAGTCTAAACAACTCCTACTTTAAGATAGAGAAGCGGTGAGTGAATTTAATGATGTTACTTTTTACTTTTACTTTCTGAACTTTGCAGTTACGCATCAGGAAGCTTGTTACTTAAGACTCATTGTGTACATTTTTAAAAATTTCAGTTATTTATTTTGAAGGCTTTTACAGTTTCACTTTTTTGTTTCTTACAGGATGGCAATGATTCAGATGAATTCATGTGAATGGAGGAAAGGACCTTTGAAAGATGTGAATTTTGGGACAGTTGCAGACGGTTTGATTTCATCTGTGTTTGGAGTTATAAAAAAAAAAACAACTAAAATTCTACCTTCATTCTACACAAATATTACCAACGTTGGAGTCTAAAAAACAAAAAAAGTGTTCCCTTTTTTGCCGACGGAAAAGGATCAGATATTTATAATATATTTGGACTTGAAAAACAGCATATAACTTTAGGAAAGTGAAAATATTTTTGCTGAAAGATGTCTTGGTACCTCATGACAGTTGGCTGCCCTTGTTCTTGGGATAGACTTTAGAACAGACCAGCTCTGAGAAGTATTTGTTACTGTGGTCTGTCCCTGAGAACAGATGTCTTGAGAAGCTTTTTCATATTCTTAAAATAGCTTCACTTCTGTTAAGAAGAATGTATCAGTGAGCAATGTATGCGAACGTTGCCCTTGGCCCCGATTTCCTGACTAGAACAAGAAAGCTTACGGGTTTTGACGGTGATAGTGATATTTTCAGAAGATTGCCGGCTTCAGTATTCCTGTCCCATGGTGTCGTGTGAGTCCTCAGCTCTCCCCTTGTCCTGGCTTCCACCTTCCGCATCCTTTCTCTGAGCCAGGGCCTTCCCCCTAGTTACCATCATGCTTAGAGAAGTAGTCCGTGTTAGTCAAGGTCAGGCACGTGGCAGTGTTTACCTGAGTGCCGAGTAACCCAAGCCACATACGTGACAACTTCGAGGCTCTGGAGCTGTTGCTCAGCGCCGAGGGGAGAAATAGGAAGGCATGATCTGAATCATTTTGAGGATGTCAGGTTACCTGATTTTCGTCTTGGGATGCACATGCAGAAAGCAAATGTCCCATGTTGGGGTTATGATCTTAGAAGGAAGCATTTCACCAGCCAGCCAAGTAATTTGTTTATTTACCTTGAGACAATATTTACTTTGAGTTGTATCCCCAGAGTTCAGATTTCTCAGTTGTAGGCCCAGTAACTTAATATGTAACAGGACTACTCATCTGAGTACTCACCTACTCTCCAGTGGGATTCTGAATAGAAGGTATGTTTTTGTTGCAATCCCGGTAGGAAGCAACAAAACAAAACAAATGAAAGGAGAAGAGAACAAAGCCTGCAGGTCAGGAGGTGCTCGCATTCACATTTTAACCACACCCAGAACTCTACACGCAGCTTTATTCTTCCTAACTGTATTCTAACCCGGTGAAAGTTATCCTGTCGGAGCACTTTGGAACTGTGGGTAAAACTAAACGACCTCAGTGTTTCTATTTATCCCAAGTTGGTGTGTGGGGTGGAACTGGAAAATTTCCCTGAGGCATAACTCGGCCAGATTTTGAAGAGGTAGATATGGGAGATTTTTCCCATATGATGACTCTAGAAATTAGTGATTTTGTGTGTGTGTGAGAGAGATAACATTCAGCCTGGAGTTCTGTGATTTTAGAAATGTAAAAATAAAGAATAATTTTTTTATTTGGAACGACATTAATATATGAACTCTTAGAATTTGCTCGTTATCCCCATCCCCATGCTGGTTTTGGAGTGATCTGGTTATAAAAAACCTCGTCCATCCAAGGCTCAACGTGGCAGCTTCTAGAGCTTCTTCCTCCCTCGTGGCCACATGTGTCTCCCCTCCAGATGCCCAGGGAGCCGAAGTGGATGACCTTTCCCAAGCCCTCTGTGGATTGAGTGGAAGCTGGTAGGGCTCCTGCCAGGCACCACAGGCACTTCTTTCACGCTGCGGCCAACATCTAGAATGGGGAGAGCTTGCCTCTGGCCTCACCCTTGTTAACCTCAGCCTGCCACTGCTTCTGAAGGACTCCTCTGTACCCCCCATTACGGCAGGTAGAGTTAACACTTTTGGAGCAGACGTCTGTGTTCAGGGTAGTGTGAGAGATCCTGGGCTCCAAATTTTAAACCTCTCCAAATTCTCACCTCACGTTGGTTTCAAGTGTCAAAGCCTCTCCTCTGAATTGCCCGAGTTGAATTCCTAGCTCTCGAACTTCTTGAGCTGCTCTGTGCTGATTTCCCCTGCCTCTGTGTGTGTGTGGGGGGGGGGGCAGTCTTTTCCCCAGCGCCCGTGGTCCCAGAAAAGAACAAGGACCTTTTCTCTTTAGGACGTTGGTTCCGTGCCCACAGGTCACACTGTTGCCGCTGAAACCATCTCATTTCTTGCTAGTGACACGTTTCCTAAACTATATGTAGGAGAATTGCAAATCGTTCTTTTTAGGAACTGTGCCTGTGATCAAATCCGTGCATTCTGAGGGTATGTCTTTTCAACTGTGTCTCATTTCCCTGCTCCGATCTGCATGCCAGTGAGGGTCGCATTATTTAATCTGCTTCACAAGCTCAGCTCTTTTACAGCTTTAGAATTCATTTCTTACCGGCCTTTGTCGATCTGGGGGTCACGATCTTTGGGTGAGGGCGCTCCGTCACAGTGCTGGTGCTGGAACGCGTGTTGGGAAGCTTACCGAAGTCTGGAAGGTGTGGACTTTAGCAGAATAGGCAACAAGCTTTAGTTGAACCCTGTCAGTAGCCCTTGTTTATTTTGTTGTTTTTTTAACTTTCTCGAAGCCCGGCTTTTGGTGAGCCTTTAAACTGTTCAGTGCCAATGATATCCCCACTCAGGAAGGAAGGTGTCGGGCGTACACAGAGCAGGAGGAGAAAGAATTCAGCTCTGGCCTCCAGCTGGGGACCAGCTCTCCCTGCCACCTTTGCATCTGAGAGGCAAAGCCCTTGTTCTCTGGGCTAGAACAGGTTCTGGGGAAAACCGCTCAGGACACAGAAATAGAACACCTTTCCTTTCCAGTTTTTCCTGAGCTGTGATATTGAAGCCTGCTTTGTCTTTGTTTGATTTCAAATCCAGCATTGTGAATAACAAATCCCAGTGAGTGGGCAACCTTTTGATCTTAAAGTAGACTATAAAACAATCCAACTGTCCTATAATCAGAAGTGTAAAATTAGAAACTGAAATTCCAAGCTAAGTGTCAGTCGCAGCCCATCTCACTCCATCCAGTAAGTGTGGCAGCTCAGAAATGAGGCCACTGCCAGCGCCCAGGCAGCCTCCCATTCCAGCTTCAGTTGGAGCTCTTCTCTGCTCGCCTGGGCCTGGCACGCGGCAAGAGGCCTTAGGCACACTACACAAACGAGAAGATGCCAACTGCATATTCATCATGTCCTGGAGAGATGATATGTAAAATACAATAAAAGCTTATAGTTTGAGTAGAATCAAGTGTGTGTGTGTGTGTGTGTGTGTGAGTGTGATTTTACTTTTCACTTTGCTTCCCCAAGCCTCTCTCACTGATGGGATGTGCATACCTCTTTTAGGCAAGTAGGAAGAAGGAGGTTCTTGGCTGCCTGAAATGATGCCCTTCAAATGGTCAGTTTTGCTCCTTAGCAGGAGGAAAAGAGCAAGTTAGGGTGAAGGGAAGATTGCCCAAGAATTCAGGAAGAGAAGCAAAAAGCCTGGATCTCAAGGACCATGATGTTTGAGCACTAGTATTCGAAGTTTACAACTTGATACCCCGCCTTCCAGAATTCTTAGGGGTCTGCTGAGATTTTGACCAGGATGAGGCTACACTTCTGAAGACTTGCTGGAATGGTATCCTTTTTTTTTTTTTTTAAAGATTTTATTTATTTGAGAGAAAGAGAACATGAGTGGGGGAGGGGCAGAGGGAGGGAGAAGCAGACTCCCCGCCAAGTAAGAAGCCCGACGCAGGGCTCATCACTCGATCCCATGACCCCGAGATCATAACCTGAACTGAAGTCAGAAGTTGAACCAACTGAGTCACCCAGGCGCCCTGGAATGGTATCCTTGATGAATGTAGGAGCTTTGGACCAGCGTTATTTACAGATTCACCTCTTCTGTGGTGGTGCTTTTTCTGTAACTGAGTATGTTTGCAGGGGGAGGTCTTGGAGTAGAGGGAGCCACAGAAACATTCAAGTGTCTCTCCGAGCCGCGAAAGCATACTTGAATTCTTCAATGATTATTAGAAGACATTTTTGAGTCCTATTTCTCACTAGTCGGGGCAATACCTACATCCTTTTGGTTTTAACTGCCTTAGCTATGAGAATTCTTGGATTTCAGTGTTTGAGTAAACTCAGATAACGGAGAATATAAGTTGAAACCAGAATTTTCATACCAAAAATGTAGAGGTCCATGCATTTACTTGGTGGCTTCAGGAATACACTGCAAATACAAATACCTATCTCACACCACGTGTTATGCATGGTTTATCATTAGAATAGATTTTTACCTCTTTTTCTGGCTCACGTTGATGGCTTCCTTCTGCTTTTCTGATCTCACAGTATCAGTTACTTGAGGAACTTCCCACCTTAGTCGTTGTGACTGTAGTTCTGCCCCGGAGCCAGATGAAATAAACTTCTCTGCTGTTGGCATTCACCGATTGGCACTGACCTGGCATTTTCTGCCCGTGTTGATAGCCAAGGAATGGAGGCCAGGGGAAATGAAGGTTCACCCTTATCTTCTGTAGCGTTTACTCGTTCCCGAACCTGGTGAGTGGGTGTCGATATTTAAGACTGGGAAAAGAAGAAAAAACAAAAACTCTCCTAAGTCAGCATGCGTTTTCATTCCTACATCAACCCCATCCTGTAACCACTGCAGTAAAAATATAAGACTAATGGCCTGACATTTCACATCCTGCCTGGCTGAGGCCTAGGCGCCCGCACTCCTGCTGGTATTTTGGGTTCTGCTTCAGCAGTTTGCCTCACAAAGAGCAGGCTAACATTTGCTTCTGATTCCTGGGATCTGCTTCTGAGAATAGGATCTGTCAGCTGTCAAAGGCTGGTCCGTTAGTCTTGAACCTTTTTGGCTCCTTGGCCAAATCCAAGTTCAATGGGTCAAAATTACAGACTGAAGAAGGTCAAGAGACAAATACTGTTAGAGGCAGTGCCCTTTACCCAGCTCAGCCTTGCCAGACTTCTCTTCGCCTGTGAAGCCCTTAGCTCTGTTCTGTCACTTCAAGACTCTTAACTTTTTCATTTTATCATTAATGTCCTCAGTATCAACGAGGCTTACGTAACTTACTTCAGAACTAGAATTGCTAGTCTTTGAAACTCTTCTAGTCCATTCTCCCTTCATTCCTAAAGCCAGTTCAAACCTCCCCTCCTCGGGGCAACTCCCTGCTTGGCCTCACCTGCTGGCATTCACTCGGATGTGGCTCTGGAGTGCTCAGCCTTACTCTCTGTTTGCTCTGGTAACTCAGATTGCACTGGAGCTGCTACTGGGGGATGCTTTGACCCTGCTTCCCCCGGCCTGGAAGGCAGCCCAGCCTGGGAGCTGGGCCTGGACTTGTATCCTCACTGCCTCCAATGTCCTGTGCGACCTTGGGTGGCTTAGTCAACCACTCTGAACTCCCATTTCCTCTGGAGGGGTTTCCAAGCTCCAGTGTTCCTTCATCCCTGCCCTATGGCCCATGGGAAGATCGTATAGAGTAATGGAACTTGGGCCTGAACAGCATGTTCAAGGTGTACCTGGTAGGGAACGATTCCCAGCACTCCCATTGTCTCCCTACCTCTGTCCAAGGGAAAGCGGACATTCACATCCAGGTGGCCGTCCCCCTGGACTATGAGACCATGGACCGCTGTGACTTTGACCTCTTTGCCAGGGAGTGTGGGCT